CGGAGTCTTGGGGGACCCCACTGGTCACAGCGCACCATGATGTTTGACTTCCATTGACTACCGCTCTCTGGGTCCAACCTTGGAGCCAATTCCCCAGCCATTGGACTGAGATAATAGCTGAGGCTGCAGTTGGGCAGTTTTTTCATGAGATGATCATAGGACACCAGATCAAAGGCTTTTTAAAAATCAAGATATACGACGTCAGTCTATTCTCCCTTGTCAAGGTGATAGGTCACCTGGTCGTAGAAGGAGATGAGATTGGTCAGGCAAGACCTACCCGCAGCAAACCCGTGCTGGCTGTCCCTCAGGATGTTGCCATCAGCCAGTTTGTCAAGAATGGTCTCTTTGATAATTTTTTCCAAGATCTTCCCCGGGATAGAGGTCTGGCTGATAGTCCTGTAGTTCCCCGGATCTACTTTCTTCCCTCTCTTGAAGGCAGGCACCACAGTGGCCTTCTTCCAGTCTTCAGGCACTTCACCAGAGCGCTACAAGTTCTCTAAGATCCAGGCCAGTGGCTGAGCTATGATGCCTGCCAACGCCTTAAGTACCCTGGGGTGTAAACTGTCTCAGCCAGCTGACTTGAAGGTGTCCAGCCTCTCAAGGGGGTCCTTGACATGGTGTACATTGAAGGAAAACAATTCTCCCTCACCCTGGCCCTCCAATCCCATATTGAGCAGGGCTGTCCCTTGGGACTGGTGAAAAACTGACACAAAATACCCGTTAAGCAAGTTGGCTTTTTCCTGGGCGTCAGTTGTCCCATATGGTTTAGCAAGGGTCCAGTGTTATCCTTGCTTTTCCACTGGCTCCCCCCTATCAAAAAAATGACTTTGTATTGTCTTTGATTTGTGTAGCCAGTTGTTCAGTCGTAGCCTTGGCTTTCCTGATTCGCTCCCTACAGGTCCAGACCAGTGCAGAATACTCCTGCTTTGAGGTGGATCCAGTCTTCCATCCTTTATAGGTCTTTCTTTTTAGACGCAGGAGGTCCACAAGTTCCCTGCAGAGCCAAGGGGGCTGCTGCGCCCTTTTGCTGCCTTTCCTCCGAGATGGGATAGACATTGCTTGTGCTTTCAGGATTGATCCCTTGAGGAGCAGCCACTCATCCTGAACTCCCCTCCCCTTCGGGTCATGGTCCCTTAGGGCCTCGCCAACAAGTCTCCTGAGCTTGTCAAAGTCGGCTTTCCTGAAGTCAAGGACTTCTGCATTGCTGACTGACTTGCCAACTTTATGGTGAAGGTGATCAACTCATGGTCACTGTTTCCCAGCTTCCCTTCGATCATTAGGTCACTGATTAGATCATTCCCTGTTGTCAGTACCAGGTTGAGCAGCGTTTTGCCTCTCATCAGTCCAAAGATTTCTTGTGTCAGATAGGGCTCATCCGTGCACATGAGGAAGTTTTGCGACTGTTCGGATTTGGCCGAGTGCTCTTCCCACGAGATGTCTCACATCCTACTCTCCTCACCCACCTCACTGTATTGCTCCTTCTGTGTTTTCCTCCTCTCTCTTTCTTGCCTTTTAAAATTTGGCTTCCTGCCGCCCTGAGTGGCATGTCCTTCTTCCAGTGTCATAAATACCTGACTGTCTTTTTTTTTCAGTCAGACTCAAAATCTGCTTCTTTCACTTTGTTTTCCATCATTACCCTTCCTTAGCAAAGATGTCTCCATCCTCTTGTATGCATAAAAAATCTTGCTTGGATAGCGATATGTTTTTAGGACGTGAAGAAACCACACCCCAAACTAACATAGCTGTGCCAACAAAAGCTGTAGGGTAGGTACAGCTATGTCAACAAGAAATCCTTTTACTGATTGAAGACTGTTTCATTTGAGCACCTGGTATAAACCCTACTGGCAATAGAGCTGCTGTGTCCCAACAAGAAGCTTTAACTGTGATATGAGCAAACCCTCTGAGGTATAGACAAAACCTTCCTTTTTACCTACCTTTAATCTCTCTTTTAAAATGACCATCATTTATTTGATTTTCTCACTTAAGTAACTGTGAATAATGTTCTTATTTTGGTCCTCATCTCTCCTTTCCATAAAAGGAACATACTTTTCTTCATGTTCTCTGTGCGTGTATGCACATCCATGTGTGTGAGTGGCACAGAGAAAAAGAGAAAGAAATACCAGTAGGTCCTTACTTATTATTTATGAGCTTAAATGCTTGCAGGTATAGGGACCTTTGTCTTTTTAAATCTTTATAAAACACAATGGAATATCATAGAGCTCTAAAGATCTAGCAGTTGCTGCTATAATTATTCATTTTCTTCAGTGTTGCTGTTCAAAAAATGTCAGTGCTTACCCACGTTGAACAAAATAAAATATTTGGAGCAACATACGACAGAAAAAACTACTATAGTTTTGTTTTGGAAATAGAAAAGAACGTTATACAGCTTTGTCGTTGTATATGAAACATTACATTTTCAGATTTCAGTTTTAGAGAGGGTTTACCCCAAACTGAGGGGGGGGAATTCTGTTAATATACAAATAGACACTTGAGTATTATAACAGTGTATTTCATTTCCACTTCCTTGTGAAAGCACTTTTGGTCAACCATTAAACTGTGTCTGTGTTGATACATGTGCCAGTGAGGTACCGGCTAAAGGGCTGTTGTTTCATGCTTGGAAAAAGTATTCACATGTTTGAGATTCCAGGTTTTAACCAGTCCTCCTCCATGCCTCATTTCTAGACTCCAGCATTTTACTGTTGCTGCAGAGTGTTATCACTTACTACATGTCAGCTCTGGCTGTAACATGCAAGAATAATGGGGCGGAAAGTCTCTACTGCTACCGTAATGGCTAAAAGGATGGGCTAGGGAATGCAATTTGAAACTCAAAATGGAGCCTTTGCTTATCAGAGCCATTGGAAACTCACTGAACTGGTTAATTCCCTCAAACAAACACTTGCTGAGTGCATTAACCACTGGGATAGTTCTTTTATTTATTTATTTTGATCAGTGACCCATGGTTAGCAACTTGTTGGCATTACCTATTTAACACCTGGGTACCTATGCTGCGGCTGCGAGCAATGTTTGTTACAGCCTTCTCTAGTGCCTCTGAAGAGGGTGGAACATAACCTGAGGCAGAAGAATCTGAACAGAATAGTTGACGTCAAGAGTTCTGATTTACCAGTTGTCTTTTGAACATGACTTGGAAGCTAGGCTATAAATGTCAGCACATGTTCAAATCAAGCAGTATGAAGAGCATTAGAGAGAGAATGCTTTAGATCGTGTACAGAATGGTGTAGAATAGTGGAAACTGCTTTAGGCCTAGGCACTGGCTTGGAGAGATCATCTGTGGAATTATCATTTATGTATCACCCAAGTACATCTGTGTCTTTAGTCCTCTCTTTATACTAGTTATGTCCCCAGTAGCTTCCTATATCTCTTTCTGTACAATAGCAGTTTCATGTTGCTTAGCTGTGGTTAGGATATTTGTTGCCTTTAGCTTTTTGGGTCTCATCTACAGCAAGACCTATAATTGCCACGGAGTACAGCTCTACTGGTGTATGTTACCCAAGGCTCATAAGGGGCTCAAGCTTATTTCTGTCACTGAGGGTTAGAGGCCATAGTGATAAAAATGTGTGAACTTTATGGAAGCTGATGGTCTGAATGATAGGGCCAAAACCCCCATGTCCTAATTTGCACTATAAAGTGTTGTTGGTAGAACTCCAGTTCTGCTGGCAGAACCTTGCGTGCATCCACACCCTGAATTCCTCTGCAGGGACAAAACCCTCCTTTCTGTCAGCAAAATTGTACCATCTCTCTTGAGTCGGGTGAGGCTTCTGCTGCCACCCAGCCCACGGTGAAAGACACAGTGAAAACATTCCTGCCTTTCTGGCCACTGCCATGGTCCCTTCCACAGCTGGTGCTTCCCTGGATGCGCTTTGACAGCACAGCTGCTAAGGAGAGTCACAGGGAGTTGCCAAAAGCACGTAGCTGTTCACATGCTGCGGTTGGCTTTGCGGTGTTCTGGCAGCAGATTGAGGACAGTATAGAGGTCTAACTATAGGAGCCCTTCCAGCTGAATGTCTCTTTGGCAAAGAAGAGTGCAATTTCAGGAGTGCTCTTGTGCAAGGGAAGGAGGCTCTGGACTGTAGCAAGAGATTATTGATCTTCATGGGCACAGCTCTATGAACGGCTGCTTTCTGTGTATACTTCCTTATTAAAATAATAAAGTCCGTAATCAGACAGAACAGGAACATGCGACTTATGTCCTGCGGGTTGGATTCATCTGATAGAGATGGGTCATCTGTAGGGTAGCCATCATAGAGGACAGCCCAGTTGTCCTCTGTCCTCTATTGATACAAAACCAGATGCCTTTATGTCCTGTTTTTCTCTTGACAAAGGACAGAGTAGGAGAAAACTGGAATGTGCTCTGTGATGGCCACCCTAGTCATCTGGCCCATGGGGGCTCATTGCCTTGGCTACCAGGGCCCCTACCAGCAGCAGGATTAATCCCGGCAGCATTGCTTCAGCATTGCTCCAGAATCCAAGGAGTTAGCACCACTCACTTCCATCTGCCTCCCTCCCACTACCAAATCTTGCCACCAAAATCAGGGTTTGGGTCACTAAAATCAGTGGCAGGAGAAAAGAGGAGTGAGCAGTAGTGGTATTAACTTCCCTGTGTTCTGGAGACAGGTTGAAACAGTGACTCTCACAGGTGAAGGGGTGAACACTGTCGCTTCTGGGTCCTGCCATTTGGATCCAGCCTGCAAGATGCCGTATGATCCAGGTTCAGCCTGCAGAATCAAACAAGTTTGACACCCATGGAATAGAGAATTTCTCTGCATGTTCTGTGTTGAACTGGACCCCACTGGGAAAACAAAGATAGGTAAATAGATAAGCATTGCCTGCTTCACATTCTTAGAGCTTGGGCTAGAGATTTAGATACCACAACAGATCAGCTACATGTACTATCAGGTCTACTGTCCTCTCATCAGCAATGGCATGATACTTAGTAAGAAGTTGGGGTGGGGGAACTCAAAGTCCTCAAACCCATAACTCACCTAGACAGTTGTGCAGTGTGTGTGACAAAAGACTCTTTTTCCTGAGATGAACAGTTGGAAACCTGAAGCTTGAGCTTCCAGTCTCTGTTGGTACATTTACAAATCACAGTTTCAATTATAACAAAAGCCTTTCAAATGATCTCCTATTACTAGCACACAGGGATTCTGTGTGGTACAATCCCTGCCCAGTGTGGTACAGTCCTTTTCAGTGTAATTCAATATTTGTTGCTTCTTGCATTGCAGTGAAAGACATTTTCAAAACAGAGTACAGAAAGGACAGGAGATGTAAGGCAGGAGTGAAGTGCATGCTAAGCTACCAGCACAGCCTCCCTGCATCCCAAGCCTGACTTCAGGCAGTGTTTTTGAGGGCTGCTCTTGCAAGCATCCATGTCAAAACCAAAGCCTCCTTTGCCTTTAGTGGTGAGGGATTACATCTCGTAGGAGTGCTAATTTTTAAAAAGGAAGAATAAAGTCTTTCTAAAAGACATGCTCTGGTTCAACCAGAAAGTACACACTTGATGCAGAAATCACTGGGTAAAATTTTCTGGCAGAATATCAGACTAGATAATCACATTGGTCCCCTCTGGCTTTGAAAACTGTGCGTCAGCATCCATGATGCACCAGATTTGCAAAGGAATTAAGGGGGTTAGCCATACCTTATGCGCCGAAGGGATGAGGGTGTAAGCCAACCCTTCCTATCCTGGGCTGCTCTGAGAATTGGACCTTATTTAAATTGCTACAGTGGCTGCCACATTACTCCCTAAAATTGCTGCAGTATTGTGGAACTCTGACCTCAGCACATCCAGTAAACCAGGGTTTGTGAAGAGATCCTCTGAGGTCAGCCTTGTGAGTGTCTTCTGAAATGTCTACATGGCGTTAATCCTCCCCTTCTGGAACTGGGACTCTTTACATTCCTCTGCCACTTTTCATTTACCTGTTGTAAAGGGGCCAGAGTAAGGAGGGAAGTCAGTGTAGAACCCACTATTCAAAGCACGATCGTATTTCCTTGAACAGAGCTATATAGGATGTTTAAAGATTTGGTACAAATTTAAGAAGTTTAGACAAGTGACTTTCCGTAAACCAATGTTTGTAAAGTAATTTGCAGCACTAGAGGTTAATCAAAACTAGAACCAGCCTTACAGAATTCGGACTTTTTATTTTTTACAAAATAAGCCCGTGATCTTGCAACAGGAGCTACATACCAGGGTCCATAACAGGGCCATGGCCTAAATAAGTAAAAACTATCCCTGCCTGGGATAGCCATGAAAATCTTTTACTTCTCAGCAGCCTGGAGCAAAGGTACCATTTTGTTCTAATTAGGAATGTGAGGGTGTTTGGATTATGATGATACAGAGCCATCCTAGTTATTTGCTTTCAGATGTTACAAGGGACAAGTGTAGCCTTAGAGGCTGGGTAGGGAAGTCAGCTGACAGAGTAAAAAAGAGAAGAGAAGGAGAATATGTACTGCCAGTTTCTTTGTAACACAGGATGCAGCTGGCCATTTCCCTAGGAGATTGGAAATAAAACAACATTTCCGCCTATTGCAGTTTACCATTTTACGGTCAACTTGAATCAGAAGGAATCTCCCTTCAAGTGTCAGGAACTGGGATGTGGTATTGTAAATGATGATTTAAAAAAACATACTCTTTATAAGCACTGTATTCAGCAGGTGCTTTCTTCAGAAAGCAAGTAAATAATGAAAAACCTGCTGAGAAGTGAGGAACTAATGTACCATATCCACACAATGGGTTCTACTTTCTGGCCACATGCTGCTTTAGGATGCCGTGGTTGGTAAAATGTCCTGTGTTTTTGTCTCTGCGATGGTAGTTGGAAGAAAAGCATTTGGCATGAATGAGCTGTGTTCTAAGTAGGTGTACTGCTGTTCGATGGCTTGCTTCCTTCCGTCCCTCCTTGGCCTTCAGGTCCGGAGAAGGCTGGAGGAGAAAGGAGCGCATAAGGGTTTTCAGTAGTGTTTCTGTAGTATTGTCAGCTGAACAGCTTTTTAGCTTTCAGTTTAGTAGAAGGGAGACTCCTGTACATGAAAAATGGGAGTCATGAAGAAGCAGTGACGGGGAATAAGGACACAGAGGATTTTCCAGGATTCCCTGATTCCAAGTCTTTGATTTTTGCATTCCTAACCTTGTTATATTTGCAGAGAATCCTGGTCCAAATTTAACTCCTATTAAAGTAATGAAGAGACTCCCACTAACATTAATAGTGAACAAATCTATAAGAATGTAAGAGCATAAGAACTGCCATGTATGGGGTCAGATCATAGGTCCATCTTGACCGATATCCTGTGTTACACAGTGTCAGATAGTGAATGCTGAAAGGAATAGTGAACTGGTATGATCAGGGTTTTTTCCCCCTGTTCCTCTCCCATTTGCAGCATCCAGCACTTAAGCTCTAGGAAGTCCTAGGAAATTCAGAACTTCTATCTTAACTCCCATGCTCAATAGCTGCTGATGCTCCCTTCCTCCAAGAATTTGTCCAATCCCTTTTTGAATCTGGCTAAACTGTCGGCTTCCACAACTGGTGGTGGCAGCGAGTTCCACACTTTATTAACCTACTATGTGAAAAAGAACTTCCTTTCGTTTGTTTGAAACTTTACTACCTACTAGTTTCCTTTTATGTCCCCTAGATTTTGTACTGGGGGGAGAGAGTAAATAATAAATCCCTATTTACTTTGCCATTTAGTATTTTGTATGCCCTTATCGTGCCCTGCCTCAAGCGTCTTGTTTCTAGCCTC